AAGGTCTACATGTAGTATCTATATATGTAATATCAAAGTAATTGATCTTTTGGTTTTTAACAAGAAGTCGAAAATATCACTTTTTACCAAAAATTACAAAAATATTCACCAAAATTAGAGAATTGAAGATATCATCACGAAATAAACAAATCTGAGAGAGGTCCACATGTAGTACCTATATATGTAGTATCAAAGCAATTGGACTTGCGGTTTTTAGCAAGAAGTCGAAAATATCACTTTTTACCAAAAATGACAAAAATATACACCAAAATTAGAGAATTGAAGATATCAACATGAAATGAACAAACCTAAGAGAGGTCTACCCAAGGTACATATACACCAAGTATCAAAGCATTCAGGCTTGTAGTTTTCAAGAAGAAGTCGAAAAAGTAAAACATTGACACGGACGACGGATGACGACTGACAATCACTCATATGATAAGCTCCGCTCGACAAAGTCGACAGCGGAGCTAATAAAGGATTTGTGAAAATAAATATCTTTATTGATGAATTATGTTTTACCAGCATATTTTACGTAGATTTTTCACTGATATGATGAAATAATATCATTCTACAAGATTCAGAGTTTTTTTTTTTTTTTACTCGACTTCCTCAAAATTTAAAAGGCTTTCAGGCAACAGACTACTTCAGTAGATCAGTGTTCAGACATTAACACATCTGATGCTGAAGATATATTTTTTTTCAATTTTCCATTCATTTTTGGGATCTGCAGGTGCTTTCATCCGACAATGGATTAAAAAGCAAATCAATCTCGGATATAAATTTAGCAGTTGACCATTAGAAATTGTGAGAGACGAGACGGCAGAAAAACTGTCCAAATTACAAAACAAAAGAAAAACTGTTTTCTAAGGTCTATTGTTTTCCTTTCACTTAGTTGAAAGGTAAGATATTTTTTTTCAGGTTAATGTTAATTTTCTGTTGCCTTCCTCTTTTAAATGTGTGTCGAATTTTGTTCTTGTGTTATTTTCTCCCTATGCAAGTTTCTCATGATCAATTCGCTTACCATCAGCAATCAAAAAAGTGTACAAGCCCAGACAGTGATAAAAAACAAGAGAAGCATATTCAATACATTACCTTTGAATCCTTAGACTTATCAGAAACAGAGCTTGTACTGCCGGGAATACGTAAAGTGTTTGAAGAGTTTTTGTACGAGTTTCCTTTGGGTCTTCCCCTCTGGCCTTTATGCTTACTACTACTGCTGCTGCTGCTACTACTGCTGGTACTGACCACTGTACTCGTCATAGCCAATGAAGTGGTGGTGGAGGTTGCCGGGGATGAGCTTTTTGTAGGTGAACTTAGTGATAACACAGATGATGCAGGAGGAAATAACGGACCACAAAATGCACCATTTAAACCTACAGAAATCAAATCAAATTCACCAAAATTTTTAAATTATATTGAACATTTAATCAGAAAAAGTTATCTCCATGAAATTAGTCTCTTATTTTCATTCATGCATGCATACATGTATGGTAGGTTATATCAGTGTTTATCCATCACTGGAGTAAACAAACAAGCAAGTGTGCAATTTTCTTTGGGCGTTATTTACAATACCGTATTTGCTTTATTAAGAAGTGCATTTCGAATAGACCCACATATAAATCACAAAATCTATTTATTCTATGCTAATTCATTAAATATTGCTTATTTTTATATTACTTTACCTCTGTAATTTACATAAACACATTCACTACTAATAGATCAGACCTTTTTTCTAAAAATACTGACCTAGTAATCATGCTACTGTCGAAATGTCTATCATTACAGTTACTTGGAAGGGGACATTTACTTGTTTTTACAAGCTTACAGTTTGTTTTTTTAAAGAATGGCTTATAAGATGAAGCAATGGATCAAATGAAAACCACTATTACTGATGAGTTGAAGAGCAGCCAGCACAACAGAGGTACAACTACAACAAAGACCAACAAAGATGTACAGACTAAAACATCACATTCACAGGCCACACAAGTAAAAGCTAAGTAACCCCCAAGTTAGTAATCAAGTACACCTGTCATGTAGTCTATCAATCTTAGGTTAAGATATCCCTCTGAAACACCTTACTTACTTTTTTGAGCTTGCGACTGCCTATAAAGTGAATCAAACCCAGGTGGGCTGGCTTCTCTTTCCCTTCCACCGCTGCCAAATGTTGGCGCTGTAAGGCCCAGAGTTCCGCTATAGTACTCAGACAAACCAGCCATACTACGGGCGTGGCGCCACCAGGCCGCACCACCTTCAACCAAAAACGGACGAGTATATTAGATTCAATCTGAATAGACTTGCATCCAAATCGTTCACCAGGAAATGTGATGATGTTCAATTCTATCACCATACGCTAAGATAATAGCAGGAGAAGGGGGCGTGGCTCCAGAGGGACTGGATGCTCAAGTGGCTACAGGAAATTTCAACTACCTATTGCTAGTATGTAGAAAAGCATTGAATAGATTCTATCTGTGTTAGTTCACTTTGATTCCTACATTTGGTGTTAATATCAGTAAACTAAGCTATAAAACTAAGAAAACAACTACTGATCTGTCTTCTTGCTATCAAATATCACTATACTACCTTGAGGCTGAAAACTATAACTTCCTAACAAGTTAGAGGCACTGGCACCATGGCTGAATACTGCCCTCTAGTATCCACTTAATTCAGCTGTGCAGTTTGAAACTAAAGAGGGCAATATTTATTCATAACACACTCGCTACATGCATCAAATAAAACATCACAATCAACTCCACCCTTTTCACACACTCACATTTTTACAAACTTCATTATACACAATTTCCTAGAGAAGCAAATCTGAAGTTTTGGCATAACTAGAAATACAGGTGCCGATGGTACTGTATAAAACATGCAAATTTACTCACATACAACAACAACAACAACAACAACAATACTATAAACTAGCAGTGAAAGCCAATGAATGCCCTGAAGTAAACAGCATGCATATATTAAAAATGTTTAATTACAAGATAAACAAAGACTCGTAGTTGAAGAGAGTGAGGAAGTTCACAGACACACGATTGTTTGATGTACAGTACAGCGAACTTTCCTCGAAAATCACACCAGACACGAACGTGCCTTCATGGAAAATAAGTCACATGATAAAACCATCAAAATTTTTTTTTAAATCCACGACAAAGTTATAGAAAGAGACAAAGTTAGCAAAGACAGTAAATATTAGGTGAAAAAAAAGTGAAGATGATTAAATAGACTGGCAAGTGAATGAATCATAGATGAAATATTATAAGATATTATGATAATCACCTAAAGTTGCCAAGTTACATAATTGTACACTGGCTGTGAGTGGCCAATGCAGACCAGCTGAAAGAATTAAAAAACAGAACAACCCTATCATACATCCGTATAAAAATCTAGGCTTAACCGCTTCTCAAACTCATAATATTCGGCAAAACATGTTGACAAATTTGTTGCGCATGTAAAATTGATTTATTTCAAAGTGTGTATCAGAGGGAAAGAATATACAAATAACAGTTGATGATCATCACTTTGTTGAATTGTAATCAATTTCATCATCAATGGATCGTTTTCATGATTTCATAGAACCATGTAATATGGATCTGAGATGAAAATAGACGCAGAGATCTTGATGCGAGCATCAGCCACGAGTCTTGTTTATGCTCCTCAAATAGCGTTTCACTCTCCCTCACACGTCCACAGTTGCTAGGACCTACATAACCATAGTATTTTAAACAGGAAACATGAGACGAGAGCGAGTGAAACACAATTTGCAGGGTGAAAAACAAGTCGCATGAATCTTTTGTGAGATCTCAGAGATTATATGCATCTAAGTTCTATCATATTTTTACCAGATCAAAAGTAGATCACTTGCAACTTGAATGGGAAAGATCCAGTACCTCCAACGCCTTCAATGTGGGGTCACTGTTCAGCAGTTTACATACATTTCCCATTTCTAGCTTCAACAATATGTAAAAATTGTCTTTTACAAGCAAAATCAGTAAATATAAATCAAAATAAGCACGTTATATTTTTTTAAAATTGTTTGTCAACAAATTTTGACTAAGAATATATTTAGAGTTGAAAGGGTTAAAATGATGTTAGTACATTCAATGAACCATGATGAGAAAATGGGGAAAGAGGGTAGAGTGGAGTGGAGTTGAGTGAGGATGGAACAGCTGTGCATAGCAGCCCAGGCAGAAAGGATGCACTTATACAGACTGCATTATGACTTTCCTGAAAAATGTGTGGCAAAGTCTGTCGCAGATCTTAAATTCAATATAATTACAAAATGATTTGAGCCAAATAATGAGATGAAAATATTAAGGATTTTTTTTTTTTAAATCCCAAATTGAGTTTTCAGATTATTAGAACATGCAGCGAAAATTGTTAATAACATCATGGAACGCCCACCATTGGGATGATATCACACACATACAACTATGTACAGTAAAAACAGTCTAAATCAAATACGCAAAAAACTGGCAAATGAAGATTTTTTTCTAAATGTCTTTTATATTTATACACATGTAAGAAATTTCAAGAATTATGCCATTTTTATGTACTTAGTTTTCCATAGTTTTATCATTTTGAACAAAATGACATAATTTGCCACTGGCGAAAGGTTTTGATGAACAAAAAATTGAAAAATTAACAGGAAAATGATACCAGTTTATTTTCGTTGGTGGCGGAAGTTGACTATTCAACGGGTTAAAGCATTAGATGATATGCACAGGTTGTGACATGAGAAGAGCAGAGGGAAAAGAGAGGGAGGGAACTAAGACACAAAACCAAATAAAGTAAAAAAAACACCTAAACAGACAATAACCATCAGCAACATAAACACTTAATAAACAAAAACTTAACTACTATACAATTGTCTTTCCCTAAATTGTCTTCATTGCCTTCATGAAATGTAACACACACTCCAATTCAACGATACGGATACCATTATTTAACACATAAATAAACTAATTCTACTACTAATAATAGTATTTGTAACTTTATATAAACAACAGTACAACTGAAGCATTATTTTGTCAACATCACACAAAGAGAATAATATTTAAGAGCGGGCTGGAACAAAACTTTCTATTACAGAATGATAACTCAAACTTCCTGAGCACAAGTCAGTTACTTCATATACCGTACTTTTATTGTATACACTGTTGTCAACAAATCCCTAATTATATTTACAAATATTCATAAACCAAAATGTTTTCATTTGAAATCATTTTCATTCAAACTTAAAATAGCTGCATTGGCTTGGCACTGCCTTCACTCTGCAAAGTGTTTGCGCGTACTAATACATGTCACTGCCATTTGAGTCGATAAATATTTAAATTTATAAATAGTTTATCACGTACATGGCTTTGTTGACTACAGTGTAAAAAGTTACAAGTGGTAAGTAGTTAACAATGCACATCAAAAAACAGCAAACTGCCATACATTGTTTTTTGCACTGCCCTCTAGTGGCCAAAATGTGGCAGGATGGTTCTCAGCAACTAGACGCAAGTCTAATCATGTACTTACATGGTGGGCTTTGCCTTAGGGTGAAACAAATTATTAGACGTGGTCCTAAACGCTGGTGTACTTAACTGTTGGACTTAAGAGATTGTGTACGAAGGCAGATGGTACTAGACATGGTCCTAAACCCAGTGTACCTACCTGTTGGGCTAAGTGGGCTATGCGCAAGAATATAATGTGCTAGACCTGGTCCTGAACATGGTGCACTTACCTGTTGGGCTTAGTGGGCCATGAGTGAGGGCATTTGGTGAACCCAGTGGGCTTGTCAACCCTTCCCTTAGGGAACCTAAACCACCAAAATCACTGTGGGGACTTCTGGGTGGATATAACGGCTGGTTGAACATACTGAACGCACTCGGCATATGGGTTATGTACGGTGGTTGGTCACGTGATGTTGGTGGCCGTCCAGGAAACATTGAATGGCCTGAAAGATACAATATATATAGTAGGAAAGAAATTAAATAATTTAGGTTAGAGACTTATTTGTCATTGAAATCTGACATCTGAAAGTAGGATGAGGCTCTTTAAAAGAGCGTATTTGCAAGATGCCTGCATCTAATGGGCCACCTAATATAGTGTGTTTGCAAGATGCTTGTATCTAATGGGGCCACCTAGGATAGTATATTTGCTAGATGCCTGTATTTTATGGGGCTACCTAAGATACTGTATTTGCAAGATGCCTGATCTAATGGGGCTACCTAGGATAGTGTATTTGCAAGATGCCTGATCTAATGGGGCCACCTAGGATAGTGTATTTGCAAGATTCCCATATCTAATGGGGCCACCTAGGATGGTGTATTTGTTTACGTCACTATATATTAACTCAATGTCAATCCCAACTGTAGTCTACTGTACTGTTTATTTTGAAATGATAATGGTCAAGTTATTAACCATAAAATGAGGGCTTTCAATGAAGTACACTGTGTGACTACATGCATGTATTTATTTAGAATTTGTATGAATAAAGTGGGACATGTATACTGTATGCAAAATTACAGCATGCACCGCTAAATCATGGAAATAGGGTGACAGATGTATAATAATAATATTATTATTTATTTATACATAATCCCACAATAGTTAGCTTGACGTCAGTAGACCAGAGTAATTACTAGCCAGTGTTTTTTGTTTTTTTGTTATCAATTTGAGCGCCAGGCCCACTGTACATTACTCAGATAGCAGGCTTTATTTACAAGATTGCAGGGATTCAGTTGTCTTAAAATCAGCTTTGAAAATTTTGTCCAACAAACTGGCAACTAGTGTCATGGGACATTTCTAATTATTTGCCATGATTTGGGCTGAAAACAGTAAATTCGGCAGAAAACACTTAGGCCCTTTGTCTGAAATGGTTGAACAAAATTAAGACATTTTGAAAAAGCACATTGCTGATGTTCAGTAAGCACTTGAATCACCAAGACTGTCTATTTGGGCATAATTCTTGTGTGTACTGCTTTGTAAATGTATCATGCAATACTGCTCATTCATAACACGTGCTTGCAAGTAGCACTTTTTTTCAGAGAGAAAATACACATATGGGCTAGCCTATATATTGACAAATTTTCATCAGATTTTGTGATCGCAGCGAAAGCTCTGGAAAACATTTTTGTTGCAAGAAAAAAGTTAACAATGCGACAGATTTATAATCACATACTATGTACTTGTGATAACTATTATTTGTTCACATAGAAATAAGCCAAATCATCCACTGTTTTATTTTAAAATCACAAATAATTAAATAAAGAGAGAAAATTCAAGTAAAGCTGTGAGATGAAAATAATTTCCCTCTTCTGCCTCTACCTTCATAATTCAGTATTAAATATTTACATCCGGCATGAATTGTCAAATCCAGTCATCACAGGGGATTTCTAATCATAATTCAGATATTCAGACTCGACTGCAGATTCAAAGCAAATCTCCTTCACCTAACAAAGCGCTGAATTAAAAGCATTCTTTTCTAGTTCTCTCAATTTCATAAAACTCATCAATAGATAGAGGTGACTACATCAGATGCACAGATTTTATGGTTTTATAGCTTCTTTGTTCAATTTATAAATATATTAAATCAGTTTCTTTAATTTGATAATAATTGTATGTGCATGTGTATCCAGTTTTTTGGCAAAGACAAAACAAATAATGTATACAGGAACAGGTTTGCAATACAGCATCAAAACTAAAACTTTTCAAGACAAAACCTTCACAAATTTAAACCTGATTTGTGACAACTTGAAGTGAAAAGCGAAAAGTAGTTTGTATTGATGCAATACAGTCTAGTAACCACACACATGATCACATACTTGGTTGAACAGCTCTACAGGGCTGTGAATTTAATCTTGTGTCGCGCATTATAATTGGTCATTGTATCCAATGATCGATGATTCGTTTTATGGCCACATTACTTCTATGGACACACTAATGTGTGAAAAAAGAGAATATTTGGAAGCAAGTTTTCAATGGAAATTTGCAACTTTTTTTTCTGAATGCTCAACTACATGTACATACGATACTTGTAAAACCATTTATTTTCACTGGCATTTAATTTTACTATTTTGATGTTTTGTGCATATTCACTGTTTTTTAATTTCATGAATTTTTCAAGGAAACAAGTTACTGTGGAATACTTTATTTTCGCTGGAATTAATTTTCGCTGAAAAGGCTTTTTGGGCGTTTTGTATGGAATTTATTTTCACTGATTTTTGATGAGATTAATGTAAAATATAGGAAAAAAAGTATATTCGCTGGATTTTATTTTCACGGAATCATCCCTTCAGCGAAAATAGCGAAAATAAATTCCAAGCGAAAATAAAGTATTCTACAGTATATTGTTATTTTTACATGTTCACGTAGATTAATTTAGAGGATTTTATATCAGTGAAAATAGCGAAATTAAAACCCAGGGAATAATTAATGCATTTACAGTACAACTAACTGATATCATCTTCTCCTTCATTGTTCACCAAACCAAGTTGTGGACAAATTCGGGTACACAAAATGAAATACTGTAAAGTTCTCTATTTTTGCTATTTTCGCTGAAAGGATGAATAAGTGGATATAAAATCTAGTGAAAAAAAAACATTTTTTTCCCATGTTTTACATTCAACTCATCAAAAATTAGTGAAAAGGAAATTCATACATAACAGTCAAAATGTCTTTTCAACTAAAATTAATTCTGGCTATTAAACAAAGCATTTTACAGTAATTACACAAATCTAACACTAGTGAAGCAGTACCTTTGAAGCATGCCTCAATAATAAAACATGGTTATAAATTAAGAAAAAGATTGTAAATTGTTAATTTTTAGTATACTGAGGTTACTTGAATTTAAGCAATTAATTAGATGATTTAGTATATAGCCTTAGAGGCTCCCTCTATAAGTACAGGACACACCTGATCGCGGACTCAACAATTATGCTGTCAATAGCAACAATTGGGGGAGATGCAAGGGAGGGGAGCCTTAGAAGGTATTAGATATCCTTTTGTTATGTCCTATATCACCAAGGTTACTCAGCACTTAATTTGTCACAGTATTATAATTTTTTTGCAATTAGTAGTGTAAACTAAATTGAAATCTGTGTTTGTCTCCCGTGAGAGTTTGAGCCACTGTTGATAGTCCAACAGTAATGATAAGATTTGCTATCAGACACAGAGGTAATTTATTAGAATATTTGTGAAACATTCAACCGTGAACAGTGATGTTCATATTACAAGCAGCCTCTCGGCTGAGATAGCTCCGTTGTTAGCAATGCACATTTCAATTAAAGAACAGAAGATATCATTAGTAAATGAACAATATGCATAGTATCAATGTAATGGGACTTGCTGTTTTCAACAAGAATTCAAAAATATCATTTTTCACCATAAATGATTGTCGTTTTTAACAAGAAGAAAATATCACTTTTACCAAAAATGACAAAAATATTCAGCAAAATTAAAGAATTAAAGATATCATTACAAAATGAACAAATCTGAGAGAGGTCCACATGTAGTACCTATATATGTAATATCAAAGCAATTGGACTTGCTGTTTTTAACAAGAAGTCGAAAATATCACTTTTTCCACAAATGACAAATATATTCACCAAAATTAGAGAATTGAAGATATGATCATGAAATTAACAAATCTGAGAGAGGTCTACCCAAGGTACATATACACCAAGTATCAAAGCATTCAGGCTTGTAGTTTTCAGGAAGAAGTCAAAAAAGTAAAACATTGACAAGGACAAAGTTGACAGCAGAGCTAAAAAGCCAAATATATGTCAACTTTTTGAATGTGGAATTTTGAAAACACAAAACCTGTAATTATAAAGACTTTTCAGATTAATATTTTAATTTTTAAACAAATACAGTAATTGTAAAATTATATGGCACAACTGAATGATAGTCAAGTTTTATTTTATTTTATTTTATGTTTCCCATAGCAAGAATACATCTAAATATCTCAAAATGTTGGTCGATGACACAG